CATAGCGTGCGAGAATGCTAAGAGGGTATGCAAGGTCAGGTCGAGTGCAGGTCATCAGGTACATGAGGCAGCCAACAAGCTCTGAGTACGGGCCACTCGACTCTATGGACTCATCCGAAGGCAGAGCTGAGAGCGAGTGACGAGTAGGCAGAGGAGTGGCCTGAGGCGAGGAGTACGTGAAGCCGAAGCGCTGAAGGACCTGCTGCACCATGTGTGACTGAGTCAGGGTAATGGTGCGGCGTGCTCTGTCCCGGGTGATCTGCAAGCCAAGGTAGCTGCGCAGTTCACCCACGTCTGTGCACGTGTGTCTCTTCTGCAGCTCGGACTTCACGTGGACGAGTCCAGCAGTGTCACCTGTGGCAAAGACCAAGTCGTCGACGTACACGAGGATGTAGAATGGCGGCAAAGAAGTGTCGGTGCGCAGAAACAGCGACGGGTCAGCAGTAGAGGGAGCAAACCCAAGAGCCGCAAGTGTAGTCCTCAGTGTGTCGTGCCACTCACGCGGTGCCTGGCGGAGACCGTAGACTGGCCGCCGGAGGCTCCACTGGGTGCCAGGAGGAAAAGACCCAGTGAAGCCAGGTGGGCGGCGCAGCCAGATCTCCTCGTGTAGGCTACCTTGCAAGAAAGCAGTGCTGAAGTCAAGAGAGTGCACCTCATAGTCACGGTGAGCAGCTATGTGCAGCAGTACCCGAAGAGTGGTCATCTTCGGGGTGGGAGAGAAGGTCTGAAAGTAGTCAACTCCCTGCCGCTGTTTGAAGCAACGAGCCACGTAGCGCGCCTTGAAGACAGGCGGAGAACCCGGCGGCCGCTTCACCCTGAAAATCCACATGCCACTGACAATGTTCGCCCCAGGCGGGGGAACCTCGTCAACGTAGGTGCCTGTGGACTTCCAAGAAGCCATCTCTGCGTCCATAGCTGCCTGCCACTGAGAGGAGTAGGGACCCTCTATCGCCTCCGCGTAAGAGCGCGGAGTCGGGATGTCAAGTGCATCCGGGTCTCCCTCAGGGGTAAGCAGTACGGACACGAGATGAGGTGAAGCAGTAGCCAGACACTGGAACTCCTCCTGCCTGTCCTCAAGGACGTTCGTGCCCAGGGCACACTCTACCCGGACGGACGGAGGACAAACAGACTCAGACTCAGGGACAAGACTAGTAGCGAAGTCTAGACGACAGCGAGCAGCAAAGTCGACGAGCTCAGTAACTAGGGCAGACGCAGCAGTGGACTCAAAGGAAGGGTCAGTGACGACAGTAGCAAGGAGACACGTGACAGTAGGACTGGCAGCACGAAGAGAGTCCGACTCCGGGTCGGCAAGAGCAGGAAGAGAGGACTCAGGAGGAGAAGGCTAAGGGGCACACAGAGGAGCAGTGGACGGACGCAGTGCCATCTGGTGTGTGCCAGGAACAGGAGGAGGACGCTGACGCGAACCACGACCACTAGTGTGAGCAGGGCGGACAAGCGATGTAGGGCGAGAAGCAGGCTCACGACGCTCAGCAAGACCTCCAGTAGGACCAGTGTAGGGAGAAGGAGCAGGCAGTGGGGAGGCCGGCTATAACTGTGACGGGACAGGCTGTGGACACTCTATGGGAGGAGAAGGACCAGTAGAAGGCGCGAGACGAAGAACCTTCTAAAGGAGCGGAACGAAGTACGGCCTAGGCCGCGCGGCGACTCCAGACACAGCAGGGACAGCACCAGTACCCTCAGCGGCAGCACCAGCGCCAGGAGCACCTCCAGCTCCAGTACCTCCAGCAGCACGAGTAGTACCCCCAGCAGGACCGCCTCCAGGACCGACAGCAGTAGCCTCTGCGCCAACACCCTTAGCAGCTCCAGTTCCAGTCACACCCGCAGGCCCGGCAGCTCCAGTACTCCCAGGACGAGCACCTCCGGGACCCGCGGCACCAGCACCCTTAGCAGCCGGAGAACCTCCAGCTCCAGCAGCACGCCTCCAGCGCCGGGTAAACCACTCACGCAGTTCCTGTGGAGAGAGGGGCTCCCGTCGAGAGGAAGCACCCGGAGAACCTCCAAACCCTGTACCGCCAGACGCCACACGAGTAGGCCCAACTCCCTCCGGCTCCGCGCCTCCATGGTCAGCACCTCCAGGCGTAGCACCCCCAGGCTCAGCACCCCCAGGCGTAGCACCCCCAGGCTCAGCACCCCCAGGCTCAGCACCCCCGGGCTCAGCACCCCCAGGCTCAGCACCCCCAGTCGCAGCACCCCCAGGCTCAGCACCCCCAGTAGTAGCACCCGCAGGCTCAGCACCCCTAGGCGCAGCACCCACATGCTCAGCACCCCCAGAGTCAGCACCCCCAGGCTCAGCACCCTCAGCAGCACCAGAGTCACTAGTAACCTCGACATGCTCGACTGCGTCTACCTGGGACACACGTGAAGGGGCAGGACCCTGAGGGGGGAGGGGGTCTACCGGGGGGGGACCTGGTACAAGGAAGAGCGGCGGCGGGGGGAGGGACAAAGTGCGGTAGGGGAAGAGGCGGTATTAGGGGACCGACTCGTCAAACGTGACGTCCTGGGAGGACAGAACACGGTGAGAGGTGGGGTGGTAGAACTGCCACCCTGGCGCGTCAGGGGGGAAGCCAAGGAAGATGCAAGGAGCAGCACGAGGGGACAGCTTGTCCGCAGACAAGTCGCGAACAAACGCCCGAGATCCCCAGACACGGAACACAGACGCATCGCCAACCTTCCCCGTCCACAGCAAAGCTGGGGAGGTCTCCGGCATGGAGACCCTGGGGTGAAGGTTGATCTGATGCGCCGCGTACCGAACCGCAAACGGCCACAGAAAATGGGGGGCAACCGCATGGATCATGGACGTACGAGCGACATCCATGACCATGCCAATGCGGCGCTCAGCAATCCCATTTTGCTGTGGGGAGTCCGGAAGCGTGAAGGTCTGGCGGATGCCCCGTGCACGACAGTAGGCTCGCAGAAGGCCAGAGGAGAACTCCCCGCCTCGGTCAGAGTGCAGACGCAGAACAGGAAAGTCCGAGCCGAAGCTCTGCCTGAGCTGGAGACGAGCTGCGCGGATCCAGTCAATCAACACCGCAGTGACATCACCCTTGCTGCGCAAGGGGAAGACTGTGGTGTAACGCGAGTAGTCGTCAACCACCAGCAGGAAGTAGCGCTCGTGACCCTGTCCACGGACGCGGGCCGGGCCCCACACGTCCATGTGAAGCGTCTGCAGCGGGGCCTCTATTGGAGGAAACTGGGAGGAGTGAGGGGCAGCCCGCTGCCGCCCCTCGACACAGGGGACGCAGGTAGGGCCAGGCCCAGGAGGAAGGGGAGGGAGGGACCGGGGAAGACCAGAGTCAAGGACACGGGAGGCCATGCCTCGGAGACGAAGCAGGGAGGGGTGACCAAGGCGGTGGTGCCAGAGGAGAGTCTCGTGAGACAGGAGGCGACACGAGCAGGGGGCAGGCTCAGGACCCGACATGGACGCTGCAGCAAACGCCTGACCCGACGCAGCTACCTGACAAGACGCAGTGACTAGAGGAGACGCAGTGGTCAGTGTGTACAGGCTCGACCCCGACCGACGTGTAAACGTGGCCAGGTGTCGGCCTGTCCGAGCGTCCGTGCAGTGGGTCACCCGCTGACGCGCAGGAGTGAACAGGCGAACCCCCGCATCCTGTAGGTCAGCACCACTCACCAAGTTCGTAGAGAATGAGGGGAGGTAAAGACCAGACAGGGTGCCAGAGGGGGCCGCCGGACATGGGAGGACAGTGGAGTAGTTAGCAAGGACAAGACCCCCAGAGGGGTCTGCCAGAGAGACTGCAACTGGCCGGCCAAGCGGCGTGAGTGTGGTGCGATCTCGAAAGAAGGAGCGAGAAGCCCCTGAGTCAAGGGTGAAGGTGTGGGAGGCCGAAGCCGGCGCAGTACCTGAGAGAGCAGACTCACCAGCACCTGAGGGAGCAGACGCACGAGCACCTAGAGCAGCAGCCTCGCTAGCACCTAGAGCAGCTGCCTCACCAGTACCTAGAGCGGCAGTCTCAATGCCCGGGTCAGGCGGAAAACACCGGTACCAGTCACCCTCATCACTAATAGTCACAGCATACATGGCAGCAAGAATAGCATCAAAGTCAAGGTCAAAGACAGCTACTCCCGCCCTAGACAGCTCACCCCATCGGGGGATCTCCGTGGCCTCCGGGAACTGGTGACGCCAAGCGTCCGTCAGGCGGCCAAAGCAGCGCTGGGTGGAGTGCGCACCCCCGCACTACTCACTCGCGCGGTCGCCGGTGCGTAGGACGTAGGTGCACGGACCAGTACCCCCACCCCGCTGGCATGCAGTGTACCACTCACGGAGCTGCTGAGGGGAGGGGATGTCACGAGTGCGCTACTGTTGCTGCTGCTGCTGGCGCTGACCACCACCGGAGCCGACCCTCTTCGCAGCGCCACCCCGACCAGCTCCACCTCCTCCGCCACCGCCTCCTCTAGCGCCGCCAACTCCGCCACCACCTCCGCTCCCACCGCCACCGCCGCCGCCTCCGCCTCCACTGCCGCCACCGACACCTCCGCCCCCGCCACCACCCCCACCGCCACCCCCACTCCCTCCGCCGCCTCCACCGCCGCCTCCACCGCCCCCGCTAGCTCCTCCAGCGCCCCTGCCCCCCTCGCCCTTGCCAGGGCGGCGTCTCCCGCTAGGGGTAGACGCTGCACCGACCGACTCAAGCCCAACGAGGTCGGCCGCAGCAGCAGAGGCAACAGAGGGCAAAAGGGGGGAAGGGGAACACCCCTCAAAGATGGGGGCGCGAGGGTCACCACGAGAGGCTCCTACAGCGACTATGCTCTTCTCCGCTACTAGGAGGGCCTTCTCGAGGAGGTCAATGGTGAGGGTGGTGGGGCAAACTGAGAGGAAGTGGTCCCTGACTACGCGAAGGGAGTCAGGGAGCCGGGTGACTATGTAGTAGAGGGTGATGTACATGGGGGGGGGGTTCTTGGCGCAGAACTCAGCAGGAAGCGCAGCGCGGTAGCGAGTGTCACTAGTGCGGAGGTGCGTAATGAGGTCAGCGACAGTGGGAAAGGCAGCAAGGTCAGGGAAGAGGTACGGTAGCATGAGGCGGCTCAGTGCAGCAGTGGTAGGGGAAGAGTAGCGTGCAACTACAGCGTCGTACAAGGTCTGAGCACTCTTGTACTGGCTAAAGTGCGCACGCTCAGAGGTAGGCAGGTGGCGACGCACAGCAAGACGTGCAGCAGCATCGCGTGTGGCCCACTGTGAGCGAACAGTGCTTTCAGCAGTAGCAGGCGGGGCAGGGGAGGCACCAGAGGTGAGGTCGAACAGAGAGAGGCAGTCTGCCCTATCGCACTGGAGGAACAGCTAGAGGTCATCGACCCAGACCTCAAAGTCAACAGCACGGCCCTCAGTGTCAAATGTAAGAACACTAGAGGTAGCCATGACTGTAGAGGTCTAGCAAGTAGTCGGTCGGCGCCGCGTCTGCCCCGAGCGGGAGACGCCGCACCGGCAAGGGCAAGGGGGGCAAGGGCGCTGGAGGGGTTGGCGGGGGCGGTGGAGGTGGTGGTGGAGGCAGTGGAGGGGGTGGGGGTGGTGGTGGGAGTGGTGGCGGGGGTGGCAGCGGCGGCGGCAGCAGTGGAGGCAGAGGAGGCGGCGGTGGTGGCGGAGGGAGCGGAGGCGGCGGAGGTGGCGGAGGAGGCGGAGGTGGAGGAGGCGGCGGAGGCGGTGGTGGAGCGGGTCGCGACTCTGCGCAGAAGAGTGGGTCGGGTGGTGGTCCACGCTAGCAGCAGCGGAGTGGTGTCACCCTGACCCCTCAGCAGCTTCGTGAGTGGTACACTGCGCGTCAGCGCGGTGGGGGTACTGGTCCCTGCACTTACGTCCTCCGTACCGGCGACCGGGCTGGTGAGCAGTGCGGGGGCCCGCACTCCACCCAGCCTGACGGACGCGTGGCGCCACCAGTTCCCTGAGGCGTCAGAGATCCCTCGCTGGGGAGATCTGTCTAGGGCGGGGGTTGCCATCTTTGATATTGACTATGATGCTATCCTTGCTGCCATGTATTCTGTGACTACTAGTGTTGAGGGTGACTGTTACCTATGTGTACCGCCTGACCCGGGCATTAAGGCCACTGCTCTAGGTGCTTGTGAGGCTGCTGCTCTAGGTGCAAGTGTGTGAGGATCGAGGATCGAGGATCGAATTGAATGATCACCTGGGTACAACACGAGGCTATATATAGGCTCGACACAAGGCCCCGTAACCAGGTGTTACGCGAAGGTTCCGCGGGTCGCGAAGCGTCCCGAACAGACCCTTACCGAATTCGGTAGAAGGCAATTTGGTGGCAACCGAAAAGCCAGAATTCGTTGCACGCAACCTAGCTCGGTGCTATAACTATAATAAAATATCGGAAAGCACCTAACCTAGGAAATCAAGCAATTCATGCATGCATATAATTATCCTATGCTAGAAGTAGCATGATAAAGTAAAGGCAAGCAAGCATAGCTGGCATAAACCCTACTCTCACACGTCCCCCCCTCAAAGCTGGGTGGCGTGAGATACACCCTGCTTGATAAGATAGTCCTTGAGAGCATGGCGTGCGTTGCCCATATCAGCTTCTGCAACCCAACAGTCCTCAGTGGGGTCGTATCCCTTCCAGCGTATCAGGAACTCGAGGGTCTTGCCGCCGCGGCGTCGATGAGAGAGAACGCGCTCGATCTCGTACTCGGGTTCACCCTGTATGAGAACAGGTGGTGGTGGCGGTAGCTTTCGTCCCTGGAACTGTTGGTTGGGGTCCTTGTAGGGCTTCAGTAGCTGAACATGGAAGGCGTTGTGAAGCTTCCACGTATCTGGTAAGCGCAAGCGGAATGTAACTGGTGTCACCTGTGCCTCAACGAGAAAAGGACCACAGAAGCGAGGCCGGAGTTTGGATGGGAGGTGAGACAGGTTCAAGTTGCGCGTGTCAAGAAGCACCTGATCTCCGACTGCTACTGAGTGATCTCGTCGCTGACGATCGGCATACTGCTTTTGGGAGGTCTTCATCATGGTGAGTCGTCGCTGAGTCTTCTCCCATAGCTGCTGCATGGTGGTGACGAAGTCATGTGCGGCTTGGATGTGTGCCGGTGTGGTTGGCTGCTGTGGTGTGAGTGGTTCCCGTCCGTAACACAGGAAGAAAGGAGTTTCCCCTGTGGCCGCATGTGATGCGTTGTTGTAAGCGAACTCTAGGGTCGGTAACTGTGTGTCCCAGTTGCTGACGTCGACCTTGCAAGCTGTGCGCAGTAACTGTTCAACCACCTGATTGAGTCGCTCTGTCTGTCCGTCAGTCTGGGGGTGGTATGCTGAAGACATTGCAAGCTTTGTCCCCAACAGTCCCATGAGCTCCTTCCAGAACTTACTGGTGAATTTTGGGTCTCTGTCTGAGATGAGTGTAGTGGGGATGCCGTGGATGGTGATGATGCGGTCGAAGAAGAGGCGAGCAGTTGCTTCAGCTGTAGCTGTGGCGTTGGTCGGTATGAAGTGACCCGTTTTGGAGAACTTATCGATTACTACGAGGATGGAATCATGCCCCCGTGAGGTCGAAGGAAGTCTTGTGATGAAGTCGAGGCTAACGACCTGCCATGGCTGCTCCGGTACAGGTAGAGGCTGAAGTAACCCTGCTTTTTTCTGCTTGCTGCTCTTCATCCGCTGGCACGTGTCGCATGAGGTGACAAGCTGCTGCACGTCTGCTGCCATCCCGGGCCAGTAGTAATACTTTGCTATCCCTGTTAACGTTTTGTTGCTCCCGAAATGTCCCGCGTAAGGTACGTCGTGAAACTCCTCCAATAGGATCTGCCCTAGCGGGGCGTAATTCGGTACCCAAATCTTTCCTGAACCCTTCCTTACAGCTAAGTCTTTCTCCCACTGTAACAGCTTCTTTGTCTGTGCTGTAGCGATCTCTGCGTCCACGGAGTACCCATGTTGGAATAGACCCTTGAGCAGAGGGTTCATCCCGTCGAGCTGGATGCCTGCTACATGTCCGGAGCGGCTCAACGCGTCTGCCTTGTTGTGTAGCCCGGGCTTGTAGACGATGTCGTAGTGGAAGTGAGTTTCTAGGAAGTCCACCCACCGCACCTGTCGTCGTGAGAGCGTCGGCTGCGACTTCAGGTATTTGAGACTGCAGTGGTCAGTATAGACTGTAGTCTTGGCTCCCTCTAGGTAACACCTCCACGCCTTGAAGGCTATTACTATCGCTAAGGCTTCCTTGTCGTGAATGGGGTAGTTTAGTTCTGGTCACAGGATCGAATTCTCAATCAAAACTTGTCACTAAAACTGAATACAAGGCATTTTTATACTCAGAAAATACAAAGATAAACGAGATAAAACGAACCTTCGGGAACACGCCCTTCCCGATACTACAATCACAAGTGCGCACAAGGACCCAAGGCTATTGGCACTTGGGATTACGCCCAGATTACACCGTATACACCACTGTCGGCGTTATCCATGTCGTGTTCAGGTACCCAGGTATCCTCGGAAGGATCATAGCCTTTCCAACGAATAAAGAGCTCCAAGGTGCCGCTACGTCGTCGTCGGTGCGCCAGAACGGCTTCGACTTCGTACTCGGGTTCCCCATTAACGATCACTGGCAGGGGCGGCGGCGGCTGGCGACCTTTGAAGACCGTGTTTGGGTCCCGATAGGGCCTGAGAAGTTGAACATGGAAGGCATTGTGAATTCTCCAGGTAGCTGGTAAACGCAAGCGGAAGGTTACTGGAGTGACCTGCGCCTCGACGAGAAAAGGTCCGAAGAAGCGAGGTCGGAGCTTAGACGGAAGATGGCTAATATCGAGATTGCGTGTATCCAGAAGCACTTGATCGCCAATCTTGATGGAATGATCGTTGCGACTCCGATCAGCGAGCTTCTTTTGTTGCTGCTGGATAGTCAGAAGACGTTTATGCGTGCGCTCCCACAATTGGTGCATAGTGGTAATGAAGTCATGTGCGGGTTGCACCGTGGCAGGTACTGTTGGTTTCTGAGGCGTGAGTGGGTTGCGAGCGTAACAGAGGAAGAAAGGAGTTTGCCCTGTTGCGGCGTGCGTGGCGTTGTTATACGCAAACTCGAGAACCGGCAGGTGTGCATCCCATTTAGAGATATCATCCTTACACGCTGCTCGCAGAAGCTGTTCGACAATCTGGTTGAGGCGCTCTGTCTGACCATCCGTTTGGGGATGATAGGCTGATGACATGGCGAGTTTGGTCCCTATGAGCGACATGAGCTCCTTCCAGAATTTACTCGTGAATTTCGGGTCTCTGTCGGAGATCAGCGTGGTTGGAATGCCATGTTGCGAGATGACGTAGCGGAAGAATAATTGCACTATCTCCTCGGTGCGAGCCGTTGTGTGTGTCGGAATGAAGTGTCCCATTTTGGAGAATTTGTCGATGACGAATAGAATGGCGTCGTAACTCGCTTTGGTAGGTGGTAACCCAGTGATGAAGTCGAGGCTAACCACTTGCCAAGGCTGTTCAGGGACTGGAAGAGGCTGTAGTAACCCTGCTTTCTTCTGTTTGCTGCTCTTCACCTGTTGGCATGTATCGCACGAGGTGACGAATTTTTGTACGTCATCCGCCATGTGGGGCCAATAATAATGCTTCGCAATACCGGCAAGCGTCTTGTTACTACCGAAGTGGCCTGCGTAGAGAACATCATGATATTCTTCGAGCAGTAACTGGCGTAAAGAGGGTAATTAGGTACCCATATTTTTGTGGATCCCTTGCGGTATGCGATGTCTTGATCCCAATGTAGAAGATGGCGCTTTTCTGCTACAGAGACTTCGGGGTCGATGGTGTATCCATGCGTGAAGAGTCCCTTCAGAAGTGGGTTCATGCCATCGACTTGTAGGGCGGCAACGTGTGCAGGGCGACTGAGTGCGTCTGCCTTGTTCTTGTGCCCCGGCTTATACACGATGTCGTAATGGAAGTGGGTTTCGAGAAAGTCAATCCACCGGACCTGCCGCCTGGAGAGTGTTGGTTGGGTCTTCAGATACTTGAGGCTGTAGTGGTCGGTGTAGACGGTCGTTTTTCTTCCTTCGAGATAACACCTCCATGCCTTAAATGCGTTGACGATGGCGAGGGCCTCTTTGTCATGGATGGGGTAATTGAGTTCTGCCCCGTGAAGTTTTTTACTGAGGTATGCAATGGGTTGCAGTCCCTTCCCTTGATCCTGCATGAGTACTGCGCCCACTGCTTGATCGCTAGCATCGGCCTCGATGACATAGTCAAGTTCAGGGTCTGGCAGGATAAGGACAGGTGCGGACGTGAGTGCGGTTTTAAGTTGTTCCACGGCTTCCTGGTGCTTCGCCTCCCATTGATATGGTGTATTCTTCTTCAACAGGTTCGTTAATGGTGCGGCAATCTTGGCGTAGTTCGGTACGAATCGGTTGTAGTAGTTGAGGAATCCAAGGAACTGTTGTAACTCCTTCACGTTCTCAGGGGTCTTCCACGCTCGCACTGCTTCGATCTTCTTAGGATCCACGTGAACTCCTTGAGCGCTCACCATATGTCCAAGGAACTGGACTTTTTCCAACGCAAACTCGCTCTTGGATAGTTTCACGTAGAAGCGTTCTTGTCGAAGAATTTCAAACACCCATCGCAGATGCTCATCGTGCTTCTTCATGTCTTTCGAGTAGATCAGGATATCGTCCAACTATACCACCACGCACTCGTCCAGAAGGGGCCGAAGGATGTGGTTCATTTCCGCCTGAAATGTGGCTGGTGCGTTAGTGAGTCCGAACGGCATCACGAGATACTCGTATGACCCATACAGAGTTCGAAAGGCGGTTTTG